GCTCGCCGCGCCATGACGGACCGCTACACCATCCACAGCCAGCTGGAGCACCTGCAGTCCAAGTACATCGGCACGGGGCACGCCGACACCACCAAGTGGGAGTGGCTGGTGAACCAGCACCGCGACTCGTACTGCTCCTACATGGGCCACTTCGACCTGCTCAACTACTTCGCCATCGCCGAGAACGAGAGCAAGGCGCGCGTCCGCTTCAACCTGATGGAGAAGATGCTGCAGCCCTGCGGGCCGCCCGCCGACAAGCCCGACGAGTCCTGACCCTCCGTCCTCCTGCTCCCGGCCCTCTCTCCCGTGTGGCTCCCGCGAAGGACTGACCGGGAGAAGCCTCGCAAAATGCCTGCTTCTGGACTCTGACTGTGCAGTCGTTCGCCCTTTTTCAGGTGGAATATAATAAAGCTTCCTGATAATTCCTAATGTTTGGTTTGGTAGCCTCCTAGTACGAGCTTTTTGTTCCCAGAGGAGTTCTGGTGCTCGGTATTGAGCGTTTCAGTGCGACCAGCCGAGGTGAAAGTCTCGAATATCCCAGACAGCATTTTCCCGACCGGGCAGATTGAGGCCTTCTTACAAAACTCTGTTTTGGGGGGAGAGAGATGAAGTTTGTTGGTACTCAAAGGGCTTGATTTATTGGTAGCAATATTATGTGGGGTGGTTTGTGGTATAGCGTAAGTCAGTTCCTCTAGTACTTAAAAATCCCAAAACGGCTTTTCTTTAAACACTATTTTTTTGTCTCATCTTCCTGTTTCCTGTGTGTTTGAGTTTTTCGAACTTCGATTCTTTCTGATACAAATTAGCTACTGTTTTTTCCTCCTTATTCTTACCTAGTAATAGAGCATTCCAACAAAGATATTAATATTGGGTTGGGCTCTGTAAATACGGAATAAGAATATAAGGGTAATTCACTACTACATAGAAGTAAAATGCAGTCTTAGATCAGATTGCATACTGAATAGATGTTGATTCTGATTTGTCACTTAAATTAGGATGTTTGCTTACAGTAAAAATAAGTTTTGAGTTCTAAAAGATGGAAAGACCTCAGCCGAAAACTCTTGAGATATGTTGCTTGGTGAAATAAAATGCTCTAATTTTTGACATGTTTGTTTGTATTAACATTGGAGGGGAAAGTCCAGTGTCTTGTGGTCTTATTAAGACACTGTGCAAGCTTATAAATGATTTTTTTCAGAAACCGACAATCTCAGGTACATCCATCTTCTGAAGAATTCAAAGATGACGTTTTTCAAACTTTGTTGCACATAGGAAGATGAAGACATGGGTGAAGTGGTTGGAAAGACATTTTACCTGCAAGTTTTTTGGGAACTGTTTCAGTTCATCCAATAAATAAGGGGACTATGAAGAAAACTGGTTTTCAGTTTGCCTGCAAGCTGGTGCAGGTAATTTGAAAAGCATCTGTTCCTCAAATGCTGGGGAATAGGGCTGAAAGGTAAGTTGAGTTCAAGCACTTAGGCATAGGTATGCAAGGAAGTCTTGTAAAAAATTGGGCAAAATTTGCATGTATATAAAACAGGTTTCCTGTTAAGTTTAACAGTTCCTGTGCCAAATCTTAGAAAGTTGCCTTCTATAATGTGTCTCTGCTGGCAGCCAGCAGGCAGTTGGTGTGTGCAACGTGGGGTGGCAGAGGCGCTTGAGCCTTAGTGCTGGGCCAGCAGTTGGAAAAGCTGGACTGAGGATAACAGGTGCTTTTGTAATGGTTTGCAAGCTGAACTTGAAACCTCTTGTGAACAGGTTATTCTACAATAAGGATAAACAGCAAGCATGCAATTTAATCACTCCTGCATAGATTAAAACTATTTCACAGGAGATTTATCTTAGGATAAAATAACATTTAGCTCTATCTGTGGATATTCTTGTACATGTTAAAATGTGAGCAACAAATATGTGACACATAAGGTTAACACTTCTTTGTGGGCCAGCTCTTCACTATAAAAGCCAACAGCCCTCAGGGACAAGTCAAGATTCACGTGGTGAATAAACTTGCTGGTTCTGGGTATATTTGCTTGGATCCCAGTTAGGGCCTGTTTTAGCATTATTGGAAGATGTTTTCAGCGTGTCTGTACTAAGTAATGATTATGAAACATTATAAACACTTCCTTAAATTGAGAAAACCAAAAGGAAGCTATAATTCCTAAGAACTAGATAAACTTGAAGTGAATTGGGAGACACTGAAGAGTTTGTTTCTGGAATATGTATTTTGCCTAAATCACAAATAATTTTAAAAACCAACAAAGGCAGTGATTTCTTTTGCATTTTATTACTGAGAGGCTAAAGCCTACAAAGAGCAGAGTTAATTACCTGTCCTATTGGGATACATCTGATTTTTACCTCTATCCTGATTGAAAACTGAAAGATACTGTTAATGAATTGGCTTGATATTTGCATTATTTTCTTTTTACATCTAAGCAATATGGCTTTAATTGAAAAAAAAACAGGTGGATACTTAAAAAAACTGATAAAGCTTTCCAACAGGAAAAAGTCAATAGCTTTTGTCAGTGGGGTAGTTCTAAGGTTCCAAGTGTGCATTTCACCTTTTTTTCATAATGGGTGAATAGAACAGTGTGGGAATCCTAGCACAATACCATCACTTTATTGCTCGGAATACCTTGATCTTTTTTATTTTCAGATTTATCATAGCATGATAGCAGGATATTAATTAATATTTGCACAGTGCAGCAATTGCACTAGTAAGCTGTTTCCTGCAAACTGTGAAACTCGGGCCAATTCCTTCATTTTAGCCATGTTCAGCCTAAAACTCAGTTGCTTTTTAAGATCATTTGCATATATTAAACTTTCATAGATGTTGCACTGTATTAGGAATGGCGAAAGTGCCGACACAGACTCTCTAGCTTTAAATGCAAAAGAGAGCACTTTTTATTCTTCCAGATCTTCTTTTGTAGACAGAAGGTCTTTTTGTTCTGAGAAGGTCTAAAAAGGTAAAGCTTTCATTGGTCATCAAACCAACACATCACCATCACTGGACAGTTGGGAACAACACCCCTTGACCATTTCTTGCAAGTATACAATAAGGAGATAAACAACACCTGCAAAGGTTGTTTTCCGTCTCCAAGGACTGTTTGGATTCCTCCTTAGGATTTCTCAGCCCAGAGTGAGAAAGTTGTGTACCTGACTTTCCCACAGGCTCAAGCTAGTGCCTGGAGCCTAAAAATCTCTTATTTGACCACTGTCAGTTCACACACATAGATGATAACATTTGTAGTCTATTTTAGCATCAGGATTTTACTTCAGCACATGAGATAATTACTTTCTAAAGCTGAGCTTTGAGCAACACTGATTTTTTTCCTCCATCACAAATCAATTAATGCAAAACCAGCACAACAATCCTCATCAGAGCTCCATTGATTCTTTGATGTTGCACTACTAACTCCATAGGTTTTACAAACCCCAAACATCATCCCCTGTCTCTTGCCCCTACAAGATCTTCTTGGTTTCATGGTGCACAAAGGGGTTGTTTCTTGGTTGTTAAAATTTAATCATGCAGTATTTCATTTTAGAACTGCTGTTATAACACATCCGTAAATGCATGCTCTGTGTGCTTTCTACTGCCCTGATGCTAGCTTAATTGCCCCAAAGAACTTAATTTCTTTTAAAATGGATTAAACTGGTGCACATTAATGCAAGTTAGCCATTCTTGTTTGAAAATCATTTTGTTTCTTTATTCCTTGTATATTTGCCATTTTCCTTCTATATTCATCTCTTTGTTAATTTCAATCATATTTGATTTAGGAAAAAATCCCTGGCAATGTAATACAGTTCAGTGTATTCTTTGTTGGCTTTTGAAACTGTGCCATCTTTGTATGTTATGACAAAGAAATGTATCAGGAGGCTGACATACCTGAATGCTTCTGACTGCTCTAGAAGTAGAACTAGAATAACATTTTTTTCTTGGGTTCAGAACTTCACCATTTTTCTTTCTCACTTTTATGCCAACTTGGTAATTACTTTTTATTGCAAAAATTACAAAATATGTTGGAATTCCCTTATAGCACGTCACAGAGTGGTCTCTGCCACAGATAGTTCACAACTAGAATTTACTTTGAAACCCCCATCAGATGGCTGGAATAGTTTGCCTCAGATATGTTTACTCAGACTTTCTGACTTTTGCAAAAAAGATATTTAATCCAAGTAATTGATACTCTGATCATGGATGAATAACTGTTTAAACTTCTTGTAAGTTGTAAAAAAAAAAAAAAAAATCCATTTTGAGGTGATACATGTGAAATTAGACTTTTAAACAGGTAAATGACAACAGCATTTACTCAGATTCAAGAGAGGCATGGTTGCCCAAGTTTTTTTCCTGCTAGACAGCTGGCTTAGAAGCTCTCAGAATATGATGCATCACAGGTAATGTTGATATCAGTGTTTTTGGGGCTGCGGTGTAAATCTCATTGCTGAAGTGGAGTGAAGATTAAACTTGCAAAGTTAAGGTTTGTAAGCATCCTACAAAACCCTGTGGTTACATTTAATGTTTCTCTTCTCCCATCAGGTTTATAGCTTGACTACATGTGGCACTGGCATAATTGAGCCATGAGTTGCTGAGGACAGACTAGGAATAAACAACTGGATGTGAAAATGTCTTCAGTTTTCCTAAAAACCTGTGTGTTTCAGGTTCTGAGCCAGAAGTCATTATGATCTATGCAGAAACTATGGGGTAATAACCTGCTGCCTGCTATGTGATTTACTACCTGAGCAACGTGTAAAGCTGAGCACACATGTAAAGCTCAGAGAATCAGAATTGAACATGATCACAACTGAGCAGACATCAGCTGGCATAGGCAAACAAGTTTTGCATTTCCTCGTGCTTGAGTAGCATGTGAGTGATGTTCTTTTCATACAGCATTAAAAGAAATTGAATCTGCTTTCTGTTTTTTTAAAAGGGAAATCCTAATAGTTATTAGTCTACCAATCTTCCCTACACTCAATCCTCATATTTTTAGTATGCATCACAGACTGAAATTTTATTACTTTGATTACTGTCTGAGCTATAGAATTAATGGAGAAGCCAAGGGTATTTTGAGGAGGTAGAATGTTTTTGTTAAATACAGTTTTCCAAAAACAAGCAGTGAGCTTCCACTGTCATGTTCAGGATGAAGACAAAATTAAATTCGAAGCATGTTTCTTCACATGCTACCTTTTCCAGTGATAGCATGGCCCCAGTGTTTTAAGTATCCATCTTAACCTTACTGTTCTGATAAGATTTCCTGGAGGAACAATGAACATTAGGAAACTGGTGACTCGAATGGTTCCTGTCCTAATAAATGAAAAGTCAAGGAAGAAAATAAAGCAGGCTCTTTCATTCTGTGCTGATCCATGTTTGTGGGGGAAGAGAAGCTAAAGGAACTTATAAGAAAGATAGGGACAAACTGAAAATCAGGGATGGGGCTCTGAGCAGCCTGGTCTAGGTGAAGATGTTCCTGCTTGTTGCAAGAGGGTTGGACTGGATGACTTTTAAAGGTCCCTTCCAGCCCAACCACTTTTTGATTCTATGATTCTAATGTGAATGGGAAAAAAATCTCATCTATCAAAGTGTCATAGTTGGTACCTTTCAAGCTGAGTGAAATAAAGAGTACTTTGTTTTGCTCTGGAAAGGATCAAAGCTGTTGCTAAGGTTGTGGAAGTGCTCTCAATATCTCTCATATCTTTCCAGTGCAGGGCATGTGACAATGTCACTTTTCAACTGTAAAACCCACAGGCTTTTATGTCATTGTGCTGAAGGATACAGCTTTTTTTCAAATGTCCTTCTGCTGGATCACTGACAAGGCAACATTGCATCTAGAAATTTCAGGCCTTTAGCTGTTACTTCTCTGATGCCCATTTCACAGAACAACCATAGAGGGAAATTAATAAAACAAGTTAAAAAAGACAGAGGAGGAAAGAATATGTGGCACCTGCCCCACCTTATCTCTTTGTGGAAATTGTCTTCACACGATAAGACTCAGAAAGCTCTTGTTCAATCTGTGGAGTAACAAACCCAATGAGAACTAGAAGGAAATGTGTTTCTTTGGAATTCCTTTCATCTTTTTGGTACGTCTGTAAAGCAACCGTCTCGTGAAAACCAA